CCTTCCCCCCATCCCCTTTTTCGTGATACGTCGCTGCACACTTTTTATTTCACGCCCATGAACTATATAAATATAGCCGACCAGTGGCTTAACAGACGCCGCGAGCTTGTTGGAGTGTGCGCATGGCTGGCAACGAGGGTGGTGCATGAGGGGGGGGGGGCGATAGCTCCACCGCAGTGCGCATGTCTCGAGACCAACAATAGGCAGGCAAGGAAGGAGAGGGTTTGCCTGCGCCTTGCTTGCTCTGGCGTATCTATATATATACCCTGCGTGGTCGTCGTCTTCTTATTTGCCCTACTTCTGACGAATTATATATATAGATGGCATATTTGTGTAAATATTTTAAATTTAAATGCAGTTAGTTCAAGTTTTAACTCGATTTCTTCTGGTCTATCTCGCCTTTTTTTTTCTCAAAAATTTACCCTGAATGATTTCTTTTAATTTGAGTAATGCATTTCTTTGAATGTTTAATTGTTCACAATATTTTAACTCACCCACTAAAAAAATTAATAATAATAAAATTTGATTATCAAAATTTTTATTTTGACTGTCTGCGCGTTCCTTTGTTTATGACTTATTATTCCGCGCCCATAATGTCAATTTCATCGTAAACAGGTTAAAAACCTGAAAGTGAACGAAACGAAACAATGAACAAAGTTTAATTTGATTGCCTTGTACTTGTATTACGTGGCGAAAATAAAGAGTCTACCTCATCTAGAGGGGAGTAGGTTTTTTGGTGATTGGTCGATTGACTACTTTTATAGCTCCTGTGTCCAAATCTATTTTAGCATGCTCACAACGCTCTGATGTCCTAAAATCAATTTAAAGAAAATAATAAAAGAGCTCACATGCCTGTTAGATTATTGATTATTGTTCATTTTTTTCTTCTTCTTGTCCTTCGGGAAATTGGAATTGTTGAGCACCTTGCTTGTTTAATCTGACCATTCGATGGTGCTACCTTATTTTAAACTCAGTGTATGTCAGTGTCAGCATGTTTAACTAGAACGTTATAAATTATACCTGTTGTTTGTAAACGCGTGTACTTGTGGGTCTATAAAAGACATGGCGCGCGGCCGTATGTGTGCTAGGCGATATCATAAGAGGCAAATTCAGTGAGCTTGACAAGTAATTAAAATAAAACACTATTTAACATTTATCAGTAATGATTAGAAATCTCCCACCAGAAACACATGATAAAATGCATCCTTCACAATAAGAGTGTAGCATGCGTTTTATTTTCGAAGTGGCCAGAGAGAACTGGTGAAATGACTATCACTACTAATAGAGATTATGTGCTTGCTACAATACGTCTATATCAATTCAAACTTATTTGGAACAGTCGCTCTCAGAAACAGCCAGACACTGGAGTCCTTTAAAACCGATTTAAAAACACATCTATTTGGCAAACACCTTCTGGGGTGATGCCATCTACCATCTTTTTTTTTCAGCAGGGCATATGAGCTCTTCAACGACAACCCCCCCCCCCCCCACGCATGTACCACTCAGGCAAATGCGGAAGAAGAAAGAAAGAAAAAAAGTGCTCACTTAGCATTTTCTCAAAGTCTCCGCCTGTTATAAAAACCACAACTTAATGTTTCATAACTTATGGTAATAAGTTGGGGGGGGGGGGAGAAACTGCAATAAGATTATAAAAAGAAATAAAGAGTGAAACAACGTTTTGGTAAACATGATAAAAGCAACGCAGCAAAACAACGAACGTGTCGGTAGGAAGAAGAGGATTGTGACAGAATAAGTTGGTGAGAGATTAAATACAGGCAAAAGTGGGGGGGTGGGAGGAAATAAGGAAAAGTGAGTTAACTGCAAGTGGTCGTGACAAAGAGGGGCGGAACAAAGCTTGAACAGGTGAATGAGACCATACATCAATGTCATGTGGTGTCAAGCTTCCAGAAGTCTAGATCAACTTGTTTTTTTTTTTTCAAATTCACCTGACTTCGTGTGTTTGTGCAGGTAACGATAGCACTAACTAATTGTAAAATCTGCAGCCCCTTTGTGGTCACTTCTGTTAAACTGTCAAAGGACGGGAAACCGTTAATTTTTGGCATAATAATACGGAGGTGCTCAGTAGATCTGTCAGAAAGTCTGCGTCCTGTGTACGACACCTGGCAGCGGATCCAAACAATGGCGTAGACAACATTGTGGCTAGTACAAAGGAAACCGGTCCCTTAACTGAAAGCGAGACAAATGGACAAGTGTTGCAACGACTGCGTCCACATGGCATAGTCCCAAAGGGGGGGGGGAGCGTTGATGGGACTTAGCACAAAGTCTCTCAGGTCTAAGAGCAATGAGATGCGGGGGAAGAGAAAAGGTTGCATGTGTTTTAGGGTCAGCGAGGAGGATGGCACGGTTTTAAAGGAAAACACGTTTGGGGATAAGATTGTGAGGATGATATCTGACAATTATTTTGGTCCTGTCAACGTTATCGCTCAAGAGTGACCTGAAGGCATCAGCACGGGTAATATTTGTAATCCTTTGAAGGGCTGATGAAAGTATTGTCTTCGGGTAGGACCAACATCAGAAATAATCGATTATCTTATGTGCTTTATCCAAGAAAATCATCATCCGACTGGCAAAGACAATGAAGGCGAAGGAATTGAGAAAAGGGAATAGACTCTTTACAGGATTTAGTTTGGGAGGAATGGTAAAGTCAATATATGTGGCTGTCAGTAGATTTAAAGTAAGCGAAGGTGAGTAGGCTGTCCAAAAAAAGTGACTGATATTTCAGAGACAAGATATGTGAATTTAACGGAGGGGTGAAAAGAGACTACAAAATTAACGAGGAGGTTAAGTTCACTCCTCTCCATAGTGGTGACCCCTTTACCACCATCAATGTACCTTTGTTGTAAGAATTCAGGGAGGCGTCCAGTGTAGTTGCTTTCGACAATTTGTTCGAAATGTTCCATGTAACAAACATGCTTAGCTGGGTCCCATTTTAGTCCCCATAGCAACACCGCTGATTTGGTCGAAAAATTGGCCGCCAAACTCCAAATGTGTCTTCTTCAGTCTTCTAGGCAGTCCAACCCATTGGCCTTGCAGATGCAGAAGAAAGACTTATGCTCAGTTCCCACGATCAAACCTTCTTCAAATTTCTTTTTGAACGCATTATTTTGATGAAAATTTGATCATGTGAACTGAGCATTTCAGTAAAAAAAAAATTTTCTTTAAAATTGGAGCAACGTTGGGTAAAACACAAAACATTGTTGTCTGCCCTCTATCAAAACCAGGAACAATTAATTGCAGTATTTTGTGGAGACACAGTGTCAGGGTTTAAAATTAAAAAGGTGTCTTCTCATACTGGAGCAGTTAAGCCGCGAGGAACGCATCATTTTTTTTTTTAATTCTAAATCTTCAAACTTGTGATGCCAAAAAAATTGATTTCCCCGACTGCGTTTCGGACAAAAAGACGCGTCTGGGCTTTTCTTATACTTTTTTTTTTTTTCTTTGTTTGACTGTCGGGTGTGTGT